GTGTGCGTGTGTGTGTTTGTCTCGTCTCGTGTGTACGTGTCTTTGTTTTCTCTCTGTCTTTCTCTTCTTTAAGCAATAAATGTCTCCCTCTTCTTTAAATAATACTATGTCCTATGAGCCTTTTATCCGCCGTAACTGCCCGCCTGACTCCCCCGGCCGTATGGCGCTGTAGGGACTCACGGCCATCCTTGTCAGACTCCGCGAGCCACGGGGCCATCCCATCATCATATTATTTTTAAAAAGAACAATAATTGGTGTGAGACTGCAGGTCTGCATGTGGCATGACATGCGTTAGAGGTCAGAAGGCAACCTGAAGATGCTCAACTCCGCCTTCCACCTTAATTGAGACAGGGTGCTCTGATAGTTTGGATGAGAATGGCCCCCATAGGTTCATATATTTGAATGCTTAGTCACCAGGTAGTGGCACTATTTGGGAATTAGGAGGAAGAGGTGGCATGGTCTTGTTGGAGGAAGTCACTTGGGATGGGTTTTGAGGGTTCAAAAGCCCACAGCAGGCCCAATGAGCCTCTCTGCCTGCTGCCTCTCTGTCTGTGGGGCAGGACGGAAGCGCTCAGCTACTTCTCCAGCACCACAGCTGCCTAGACTCCCCGCCATGATGCGCATGGAACAACCCTATGAAACTGTCAGCAAGCCCCCAATTAAATGCTCTCTTTTATGAGCTGCCTTAGCTATGGTGTCTTGTCACAGCAACGAAACAGAAACTTAGACAGGTGTCTTTGCGTTGTCACTGCGTATACCAGGGAACTGCCCTTCCAGTGTCCAGGGTTGTCCTGTGTGCACCTTCCCTCTGTTCCGCAGCTGGCTTCACGTGGGTTTTGGAATGTCAGAGAGAGGTCCTCACTTTACTTAGTGAGCACTTTTAATCTACTGAGCCAAGTCCTCAACCCTATACTTTGTTTTTTTTAGAGATTTACTTTTAACGTGTTATGTGTGTGTTGTCTGTATTATGTCATGCACATCACATGTATGCAGTGACCACAGAAGCATCAAATCCCAACACTGGACACAGAAGATTGCCGTGCATCCGGACCCAGGCCGTTTGCTCTTAACCATTGGGCCATCTCTTCAGTCCTAAGAACTTAATTCCAACTCTGTTTCACACTGACTCACGAGGCTGGAGGGATGACTCCGTGGTTAGGATTGGTAGGCCCAAATCCACAAAGTCCCCGCAAAAGCCAACAAGGAGACGGAGTCCCGTGTGTAAAAGCAAAGAGCCTTTATTTTAATCTTAACTTAATTTTAAAATAAATTTTATTTATTTACTCTGGTACACACGGTGACAACGCAAAGACACCTGTCTAGGTTGCTGTTTCATTGCTCTGACATCATGGCTAAGGTAAACTCAGTCTCTCTGCATGTCCAATGTATTGGAATAAACGGAGAGCCCCGAGCTCAATCAAAATAGGGTTTTGTAGCAGTAAAGGTGGGGGTGAGGGGTCTCTGAGGTTCAGGACTCTTGACTGACTGACATTTGTCTAGGGATGTCCTGGTGAATATGTTTTGGCAGGTGTTCCCATCTACAGTGGTTAAAACGCCACTCATTTCCTTTGAATGGTCTGTTCTTGAGTGGAGGTCAGGTAATCTCAGCTTGTGGTTCCTCCTGTAACCAGGCATCGCCTCAGGGTAAACTACTGAGACTCAGGCCTCTTCCTATTATCAGTGGCTGACTACTCTGGCAGGTGATAATGGCTGGAAGTAAAGAACCTCCTTTGGGTGATCTGCCCAGATTTAGCTTCTCAGGGCTGCCCCGCAGGAGCACTCAGGTCTGGCAGTTTGCAGCCCACTACTCCAGCTTCAGGAAACCTGACACCCTCTTTTGGCCTCCACGGACACCCCCCATACATGCACCTACACACACAACACTCCGCATACATGTAATTTAAAAATAAAAGCCAGAAGTGGTGGCTCACGCTTCTACCCCAGTAGGGCGGGCAGATCTGTGACTTTGAGGCTGGTCTGGTCTTATATAGGAAGTCCCAGCTGCCCTGACTCAGAGATAACTGATTAATTAAATTATAATCTTTAAACCACATAATGCAATCCTGATACACAGCAAATATTTATTTCTAGAAATAAAATAGTGATAATTAAAAAAAAAAAAAGAGTTCCATCTTTATCTGAGTCGAGGTCTCTTAAAGAATTTCTTAGTTCCTAGCAACCACACGGAGGCTCCCAACCATCTGTAATGCGATTTGGCACACTTGTCTGGCCTGTAGACATACACGCAGGCAGAAGACTGTATGCATAAAAACTAATAAACTTTTTAAAAAAAAAACAATTTCTCAGGCAGGAGAACTACCTCTGGGAAGCACTCGGTTTCCTCCCAATAACAACAGCCTCAGAACCCTGACCGCCCATTCATAGCGCCCTGGGGAGCATTCAGAGCAGAATTCAATGCTCCATCCCACCCCAAGCTCAGTGGTGGAAACTGACTAAGCCCTCCGAGGCTCTTCACCAGCCGACCTGAGACACATCCATCTCCACTGGACTGCGGTTGAGAAAATGCTAAGTTGATAGTTCCCCGAGGACACAGAAACCTCATAAACGGTCAAGCCCTGGCGGGAGGAGGGATACGGAGGAAGTAAAGATTGACTCGGTTATGCTGTTGAAAAACCACTGGCAGTCAAGTCCACCTGAGGATTGAGGACAGGGGGTGAGGCAGAAAGGAATGCTTTCAGAGGAGGATGTGCAAAATAGATGTTGTGAAGGGCACCGTGTGGGGCATGGCATGTGAAAAGCCATGGGGTGTAGCTGCTCAGCCATTTTTGAGTTATGGGGCTAAGGATATAGCAGAGGCGCCTGGTGCGGGGGGGGGGGGGTGATGGATGGTCTTAGGTTGGAGACAGGCCACCCGACTGACAGGAGGTGGTGGAGGTTTGGGAAGAGCCTAGGAGAGAGCCCGGGCATGAGGCCCAGTGGGCTCTCTAAACTCAAATCCCTGTGGCCAATTACAATCTGGGAGATGGTCCGACATCGCCACCATGCGGCGATTTCTGATTCTGCAGCCACTGTATTTGAGGACAGAGTGCTGTTACAGGCTCTAGTCAACAGAGAGCGCAATCGCCAGTTTGGCTCGGTCTCAAGAGCTTGAAAGTCACTAAACTTGCACAGATCTGAGCTAAACAGAATAACAAATCTGCTTGTGGTTGGAAATTTCTAGTCCTTATCCTGAAACCCAGTGAATACCGTGTTCAGGAGGCACTGCCTTGAACACTGGGTGGAAATGAATTTGCTTGTGTTTCTCAGGGCATTTACTTGGAGAGGTTGGAGACGCTGGCAGGAAGGAGATTGTGGGCTAACAGATCCCCTATTTGGGGTTCTGAACACTCATATAAGAAAGGGATTTGATCGCGGGTGGTAACCGTTGAATAGGAGTTTGCTAAGAAAAGAAAAGAGGAGAAGAGTCAGTATTCCTTAAGATAGCTAAGAGGAATTATGTCCACCTAGACTCTAGGTGCAGTCACCGCTTCTGCTCACACCTCTGATCGTCAGTAATCCTTAGCGTGGTCTTCTGTTAAACAGATTCTCACCTCTGACTGGCAGGAGTCCTCAAAGAGAAGTGATAAGTTTTAAGTCCTGACAAGTTGTTTGGCTCCTGGTAGAGACCCTGGCCCTGGAAGTTCTCTTGCTCTCACCCTCAGAGCTGAAAGCCCTCCAGATACCCATGTGCCCTTAAAGACTCCAACTCATTTCCCGAAGCCCAGATCAGATGCTGGACCCTGTCCTCCAACTAGAGAGCACAGGTCACTGTCACTCCTGCCTCCGTTCCCAGAACTTCCCCTTCAGACACAGAGGTCCAGGGCCCAGCCTCCTCCCTCAGACACAGAGGTCCAGGGCCCAGCCTCCTCCCTCAGACACAGAGGTCCAGGGCCCAGACTCCTCCCTCAGACACAGAGGTCCAGGGCCCAGCCTCCTCCCTCAGACACAGAGGTCCAGGGCCCAGCCTCCTCCCTCAGACTCAGAGGTCCAGGGCCCAGACTCCTCCTTCAGATCTAGGGGTCAGGTCTCTACTTTTCTTCTTCCTACTGAGATTTTGGCTGATTATGCAGTCCCTGGACCTGTGGGAGCAGGGTTGTGGGGAGTAGGAAGTAGGGAGCCTTGATCTGATGCTGTTACATTTATCAGCTCTCAGAGGCCAGAATGATGGTAGAACAGGTAGAGGCCAGGTTGGTGGGCTGGGGTGCCGTGCCTTTTCACTGCTGAGAGGCCAGGTTGGTGGGCTGGGGAGCCGTGCCTTTTCACTGCTGAGCCTAGAGCAGAGACAGAAGCATAATGGAGACACGTGGCAACTCGGTACAGAAAAGCTACAAGGACAAATGAGGCAGGAGACGCAGACCCTCCTGCACTCTGTCTTCCCCTCACCTTGTTGAAGAAGTAGATGGAGGCTAGGATGGTGAACACGGCCATGGCCAAGGTCACATTCTGGGGGAGGAGGAGTCAGAAGTCAGCTCCCTCCCCTCCCTGCCCCCACCTCTGCCCCAGTCCCTTCACCTGTCCTCACTTCCTGCAAGTTCATAGCCATGGGTCCTAACCACACAGCGACTTGACCTCCCCCAGGCCTCTGAGTCAGACAGGAAAGAGGCCTCAAGAATGGGAGAGGGTTGTCGGGGAGACCAGAATGGTGACCATGGTGACCAGGAAAGGGCATTTTGGGTAGAAGAGACATTCACACTGGGGACTGGGGAGAAGGGGATGTGGGCATGGGCTGTCACATGTGGTACCTAAATCCAGCATCGAGACCTAAGAGATTGGAGAGTCCAGAACTGGATCTCCACACTGAGTTCTGTTTTCTTCCCTGGGGTGTGCTGGGAAGCTATGGGAGAACTGTGAGCAGGGGAGGGACAGACTGGTATCTTGAGGCAGGAGAATGCCTGAGGTGTGGAGAATGGGCCTAACGGCCTAGGAAACATGGCATCCTCATGTTAGGGGTTAGATCAGAATTTGGTCTCCAGTTTGTAAGGATGGCGGAGCATCATGGTGGTGTGAAGCATGGTGGTGGTGGTGGCAAATACTGATGTCTGGACCACAGACAGCCAGGCACTCTGACTCTGAGCACACAGTGCTCTTTGTAGGTCCCTAACTGCTGTCCTCCGTGCCTTTAGAACGAACAGCTCCCCAGGATACTGGAGATACAAAGGAAGCAGGCAGATGAACACACATGTTGAACTGCTGTCACCTTCACAAATATTTCTGGCTGTGCACAGAGGGGTGAGCCACTGGAGGGGTACAGGCCTTTGCAGTGATGCCTGCACCTGGACACTGAGAAGGGAAGCACAGGGTGGGAAACCTCCTGTGTGGGCTTGAATCCCAGCTCTGTAGCGGGATGACCTTGGGTGAGTCATTTAAAGATGTCTGACCCTAGCTGGGTGGCGGTGGTGCATGCTTTTAACCCCACCACTTGGGAGGCAGAGGCAGGCAGATCTTTGTGAGTTCAAGGCAGCTTGGTCTACAGAGTGAGTTCCAGAACAGCCAGAACTGCTACACAGAAAAATCCTGCCTGAAAAAACCAAACCAAACCAAACCAAAAAACCAAAAAACCAAACCAAACCAAAGCCAAAAAAAAAAAAAACAAAAAAAAAAAAAAAAAAAAAGATGTCTGAGCCATTCTTTGTTTGTATTATAAAGAAAACATATCCTCCCTTTGCCCAGTGGGTAAAGCACTTATCACGAAAGCACAAAGGCCTGGGTTCAAATCCCTAGCACTCCTATAAAAAGCCAGGCGTGGCACATGTGCTTGTCACCTTAGCACTGCAGAGGTGGAGACAGGAGGATCCCTGGTGCTTGCTAGCCAAATCAGTGAGCTCCAGGCTCAGCGACAGCCGTCAGAATAGGTGAAAGGCAATTAAGGAAGACATTCGGCATTGACCTCTGGTCTCTACACACAGAAGGAACTTCTGTTTGGGGTGCAGGTGCTTCTCTAGTCCAGGGTGGGAAGAAGGCTCAAGAGGCTCACGAAGCTCAAGGTATCTTTGCAGATTCACAAGCCACATAAGCAGTAGCTGGGAGCCGGAGGGAGGACAGCCCTAAGTGCAGCCGCTGCGAGGTGCCTGCACAGAGGACCCCGCGACACAGCTTCCTCGCATCATCCCTCTGTGGGACTTTCCGGTGCTGCGGCTGCCCCTGAGTCCCAATCCTGTGAGTGACCCCACTGGTTCACCACGCTGGACTCGGAGGACTTTCATGGGTCCACTGTTGCTTTTTCTGTCTGGATTGGAGTTCAAAGTCACCTTCAGCTACATGGGTGCATAGAGAGTTCAAGGGTGCCTGAGATACATGAGACTAAGTGAATAAGCCAATACATAAAATAAAAGTTAAGGGCTGTCGAGATAGCTCAGTGGGTAGCCTGTTGACAAGTCTGATGGCCTGAGTTCAACTCCCAGAACTCACATGGTAGAAGGACAGAACTGACACATTCTCCTCTGACCTTTGTATATGTGCTATGGTATTGGGTCCCCCTCCCATAAGTGTAACACATTTTCAATGAAGAAAAAGAATAAACACACATATGTACTCAAAAAGAGAGAAGCAGGGGACAGCAGATTATAGAATCCAGTGGTTCTCCTTCCTAGCTGGTGGATGCGTGGCCTGAGGATGCTGCGATTTCCAGCAAGTCTCACAAACTGTGGACCTGGGATCTCCAGGGCGGCTGGGGATCAGGTTCTCTGCTACTGGCTGTTTGGTGGTCAGTTGTTACAACAGCATGGAGTGTGAGCACCCCAGGAGGCAGAGTATGCCGACATCTCTGGGGGCAGAACTTAGTCACCACTCCACATTGTTCTTGTGGTTCTGTGTCACCTATGGCTGTCTCCTGTTTTGCTTTGGGATTAACTTGCTACATAGTCAAGGTTGGCCTTGAACTCACAGAGATCCACGTAGACTCTGTCTCCTGAGTGCCGGGAATAAAGGCATGTGCCACTGTGCCTGACTGGGATTAAGAGAATTTTTGGAGCCATGGTAGCATACGCCTGTTATCTGAGCACTTGGGAAGCTGAAGTTGGAGTGTTGCAAGTTCTAGACAGTCCAGGCTGCAGAGTAAATTCAAGGTTAGCCTGGGCAATGCAGTACAATTTTATCTACAACATTTAAAAAAGGGATCAGGTGTTGTGGATAGAGATGTAGCCCAGCGATTCAGCACTGGCTCAGCCTGTGTCAAATAACAGCAGAATTAAACAAGAGGACCTGGGTTCAGTTTCCAGAACTCACAGGGTGCCTTGGGATCATCTGTAATTCCAGTTCCAGAGGACCCAATGCCCTCTTCTGGCCTTTGTGGGCATGCATGCATATACATACAGGTACATAAAATAAAAATAAGTAAAATCATGGCCTGATGTAGTGATTGATACACACCTTTAATCTCAGCACTTGAGAGGCAGAGATTTGTGAGTTTGGTCTACATAGTGAGTTTTAGGACAGCTAGAACTACATAGTGAGACCCTGTCTCAAATCACCACTTCAAAAAAAAAATCTCAAAAATTAAACATCTAGACCCTCTCTAAGCTAAGCCTTCCCAATTCTTGACCCATAAAACCCATGAGCAATAACAACTCATTGCCTTAAGTTACTGATCTTGGGGCCAGGGAGGTGGCTCACTGGTCTCACAAGCGTGAGGTTCTCAGTTCTACTCCCAATACCTGCGTTAAAGATCTTGGCACAGTGGCTTGTAACTGGAATCCCAGAGCTTGTGAGGTTGAGACAGGAGGATTCCTGGAGCTCAGTCTAGCATGGATCAGTGAGCTCGAGGGTAAGCGAGAGACCCTGAGGGTTTGAGAGCCACACGCATGTACTCCTGCACACACATGAACACAAATTGCTGAATTTTTGGGTCATTTGTTGTATGGTTGCAAACACAACTTCTCAACAGTTTCTTTCTCACACAGATTCTCTGAAGTGCTTTGATCTCATCTGATCTGCATTGGGCAATGAAGGCACGCAGAGCAAAATAACTTGGTATGGTGAGATTTGAACCTGGTCTGTCTGCTTCTGGCTTGGGTATTATGCTACAGGGCCCCGTTGGTTTTAACCATTTTTATGTGGTGTGGGAAATAGTAGGAATCTTCAAGAAGTCCAAGGAGACCTCAGAGACTCCTAACATTTTAGAAAAGGAATGGGGAGATGTGGGAAAGCAGGGGTGGGGGTGGGGTTCCCTGTAACTACCTCTCAGCCTTGCCATTTCCTAGATGGATCCTCAGGCTGTGCCTCAATTTCCCCATCAACACAGCAGGAATGCTGGTGGTCATATGGATTCCTCCTGGGGGGTCTGTGAAGATGAACCAGGTTAATCCCAGGACTCCCTAGCCTGGAGCAGTGCTGGGGCGCATGCGTGCTGGGGAGCATGCTGGGGCCTGCACTGCTTGCAGGGGGCTGAGTCTGAGGCTAATGAGCAGGTGAGGCCACAGCACAGACGGAGGCTGAGCTCAGCGTCTGCTCTCTGTGGAAATGGCCGAGCCTGGGTCTCAGTGCCACACTGCTGGACCCTTACTGCTGCTGCTGCTTCTGCTGCTACCACCCCAGACCCTGCTGGAGGGGCCGCTGCTGTTTGTGGCTCTGGTGCGCAGCCTCCCACCCCACCTGACTCACTCTCTACCTCCCAGACCAACCCTGACCTGGCTCTCCAACATCCCCAGGTGTTCCGCCATGGCGACCGGGCCCCACTGGCCTCCTACCCCACAGACCCACACAAGGAAGCTGCCTCCACCTTGTGGCCTCGAGGCCTGGGCCAGCTGACCAAGGTGAGGAGGGAGAGAGGGTGAGGAAGAGGGCTGGGAGATAGGTGATGACGGTCTGCTGAGACTGCCTCTGTTCCCAGGAGGGGATCCGCCAGCAGCTGGAGCTTGGCCGATTTCTGAGGAGGCGCTACAAGGCCTTCCTGAGCCCAGAGTATCGGCGTGAAGAGGTACTTTGCTGACCTTTAACCCCAAGACCCTCTTTGGCCTTCACCTCCTGTCTATCAACCTGACCTGCACTTCCATGGGGTTTTGAGTCAGTAAGGAATCCACACTGACCTCTGACCTCAAACTATGACACAGTGTGACCACTGACCCGATCTCAGCCTTTGTCTTGATTCCCAACTATTCCATCCTGACCTTCTGACCTTTGAACCTGATTCAGTCTTTGATCCTTGTTTTGCCTTCCTGATGTTTCTTAGGAGGTGGGGTTTCTTGGGAGGGTTCTAGGCCTACATGTACTTGTTAAGTTTTTCTCTGGCCCAACAAGCCTCTCTGCCAATGCATAATCCAAATCAGACCAAATCAAACGGAATTAGAAGAAGCCCAGGTTTAATGGATGCCAGTGCTCCCCGGTGGCCCTCTGGGAAAACACGGAGAAGGGGGACAGAGAACCTGGGAGACCACGTGTTCGTTGGGGGAGGGCAGTTTAAATAGCCTATGGGAGTGGTCTTGACCCTCCCTGGGGAGAGGTCACCGGTTGGCAGGCTTTCTTGGAGGTGGAGCCTGGACTGAGGCCACTCCCAGGGAAAGGGGCTTGAAACGGAACTTTCCAGCCAAACATCCCAGACTTTTTTTTGGATAAGGATGTTAGGGGCTGAGGTGATGCTTCCAACCAAACAATACCCGGCCAGTCCTCCATCACTGAGC